CCTCCTCCTTCTGTTCGCCAAAGCCATCACTTACTATGCTTCAGCCACACACCTGGCGGACTGGTGCCCGCCTCTACTGACGCCCACTAGATTCACGATCTCTGTCTGCGCGAAAAGAGAGATAACTGCTACTGTAGAGTACGTTTGTAGATTAGAACAGCAACAGCAACAGTAGCCGAACCTTTATCTATGGAAAGAAAGTTTTTTTTTTTTTGCCTTCCGACTATTATTGCAGAGGTACCTCAGAAAACTTTCACTTAATGTCTCATATTCTACATGAACATTAAACCAATACGAAGTACAACAACATATGTAGGACTTATTTCTACTGTCACTTACATCGTAAAAATATCTCCTCTTCAACTTGAAACAAAACCAATGACAATCCTCATGGTATCCTGTATGCGTTCGTAAGCTTGCTAAAATACTACTGCGTTCAAGTACGTACACAAAGGCGCCGACTACGCGAAAGCCCGAATCCAAGGTATCACAAGCGAAATTGAGCAGTATCGGAAAACTCGATACATATCTGCAGCCGAAGCAACATGGAGGTTGTTCGGTTTTCAAATGGTTAGCCGATTTCCAGCGGTTACAAAAGTGCACGCCCACTTAGAAGGGGAACAATATGTCACATACCCAGACGATGCAACTCCTGAATTGCGGCTAGAGATTGCTGAGAATTCTCCATCTTCTCTAATGACATTTCAAACGGCCGGAGGACGTCGATTTTACGCCGTTCACCCTGCTAGACTATTACGAACAAAATACCGTCACAAAGGCCAAGAAAGATGCTCCAAAACCAACATCCCTCCTCCTGGGAAGTTCTTAGACTCCTACAGCAACATCATTTCACCTAGATCTCACACAAATCAGCACGTATGTTGAATCGTGTTCCAGAGTCCAGCAGTTGGTGACTTATTTTACCTCCGGCTTTTACTGCACACCGTGCCGGGAAGGTCTTTTGCCGACCTCCTCCTCGTGCCTCAGCCTGACTCAGCTCCATTTCAACATAATACCTTCCACGACGCCGCCAGAGCAAGAGGTTTAGTGACTGGTGACGAGGAATACACAATTTGCATGGAAGAAGCGGCATCTTTCCAGATGGCAAGCCAGCTTCGCGCGCTGTTCGTCACCCTCATATTAGACGGTGCCTTTGCACCAAAATTGTGGTCAGAATTTCAGCCCAATTTCATTGAGGATTTTACGCTAATCATGACATCTCAAGACTCCATCCAACGCGCATTAAATGAAATAGACGTGAAGCTGCAATTACATGGGAAATCAAACGAACAAGTCAACCTGCCTGCAGCTAGACACTCAACTACAGAAATCCAAAGAAAGAGAGAATCATTTGACGTAAATAAGTGTAAGGAACACGCTGAAGGCCACGAGCGCAACCTTACCGCGGAGCAACATCACGTTTACAAAACCATCATCGACTCTGTCACTACCGGAGAAGGAAAACCATACATGATTGACGCCCCAGCTGGCACAGGAAAAACATACACAGAAAAGTGCCTTGCCGCCAAACTTAGAGGAGACGGAAAAATGGTGCTCACCGTCGCCTCCACTGGGATTGCCGCTCTGCAGCTTCCGGGTGGATGGACAGCCCACTCCATGTTCAAACTTCCAATGGACGACAAAATGACTCCATCATGCGTGTGCAACATCAGCGCACAAACCCAAAGGGCTGCCTTGCTACGATCCAGCGACCTCANTTGACGCCCCAGCTGGCACAGGAAAAACATACACAGAAAAGTGGCTTGCCGCCAAACTTAAAGGAGACGGAAAAATGGTGCTCACCGTCGCCATCACTGGGATTGCCTCTCTGCAGCTTCCGGGTGGATGGACAGCCCACTCCATGTTCAAACTTCCAATGGACGACAAAATGACTCCATCACGCGTGTGCAACATCAGCGCACAAACCCAAAGGGCTGCCTTGCTACGATCCAGCGACCTCACCATATGGGATGAACTACCTATGACCCACCGATACTGCGTTGAAGCTCTCGATAGAACCCTAAAAGATATCATGCGAAACGACAGACTGTTCGGTGGAAAAACCTTTCTGTTTTCAGGTGATTGGAGGGCTCACCTCCCATACATAGGGGTCCAACAAAAGATGATTAAATTATTTCGCGCGAAGCGCGAATTTTTTGGAGAATTGTAAGCACAAGAAAAAACGCTGATTTGGTGGACGTATACAGTTGTTTTGGTGCCGGTACAACACGTTGTTGCGGTGCACGTCAGCAGTAGAGTTGGCTTTGCTCGTGGAGGTGAGGATAAGCGCTTCTGGGCTTGCTATGCGTAAACATCTTCCCTCAAGTCTTCCCCACCCGCAGCACCCCCTCCTGCAACGACCACACTCCGTGGAACAGCAAGGGGGACACTGACACCGACTAAATCACCAAAAGCCGCACCCTCTTCACCTTCCTGTAGTTTCACACGCAGCGCTGAATGCTGATTGCGCAAAGGCAACATCGTAAATTGAGCGTTAGCACGTTCAAAGAACTTTTGGTGGTACGACTGCAGCTGACCTGAGGTTTTACGATACACTGCTTCAAACTCCACAAGACCAGACTCGATCTTGGCACAATGCTGGTTCCATGCTACGGCCCAGGCATCAAAGTTGATGTTTTGGTAGTTCTGATTCCTCCCCTTTGGCTGCCCCGGCATATAGAGTTGGCTGTTCAGCTCGCTCGCAAATTACCGTTTCTCTGCTCCAGTATGAACGGGCGCGACCGGCATGCCGGCATGCATCATTTGGGCGTACTTCTTCGCAGAATGCGTGAGCTTTGGCATTGGTACGGCGTTTTGGGCCAACCCTTGCTCGTCAACAAGATCGCTAGGCTCGCTCGGTACGTCCCCACCACTGGCAGGCCCCCACAGGCTCTCAGAAAGGCCGCTCTGCTCACCAGTGTCTGCTGCGTCAAGCGCAGAGACCCATTCAGGAAACAAGGGGCTGTCTGGGTACCAGCTAGCAGTCTCTCGTTGAATTATCTCAATCTCGAATTGATCGAAGAACTCCCCAACCTCCCTTGGTAGGCCGCGGTTCTTCACAGCCATCCTAACATTCCAACGGTAGTTGAACTCGAGAAGAACGGAGTGAGCCAGTGAAGGAGACGCGCAGTAAGTTGAGAGCAGCCTGCGAAGGTAGCGATGATAACCCTTGTAGGGCAAGTGCATGGAGGAGGCCGGGAAAGAAACTAGGTTACATATACACGAAACAAATTACTGACCGCCAAGCGAAAAAACTCAATACCGCCATGATGATGACGCTGTATCCCGAAGGCATTTCACCAAGAAACGGGCTTACACGCAAAAGGATACCGTGCAGCGAAGAAGTCTGGTACCTCGGTGCAGTTGGTGCCTCGAACACAGCGACGAGTCGTGATCCCCGCTGAATTTTTCCCCGTAGTGTAGTACAATGGCACACGTTCAGGGTCGCTCAGGCAGCCACTTTCGATATGCTTGCGGAGCAGTTCGACGGCCTGCCTCGCACACGGCCGAAGAAGTGTTTCTCCAGATTTCGCATCGACTACGTCCTGGAACTGACGAATCACCAAATTGAAGCGCTCGAGCAATCGTTTCTGCTCCGGCACCAGCCGCCGACAATTCCGAACGAAGAACGTCCAGTTCTTGTCCTTGTACTCAACAACGGCTTCTGGTGTCATTCCCTTGCCGGCAAGGGNTGATGACCTGGGATCGACGCCGCAGATATTCTTCACGTGTCCACGAGCACCCGTCGTCCTAGTTATTGGATTTTACAGAGGAAACGAACAGAACATGGGGCACAACGGGTGAAGGTCTTGTGTTGCACATATTCATAGCAAGGAACACGGTCGCGGTACACTGTTTATCTATGCTTTCAGGCAGCTCGAGCACGACGTCGTGTTGCAAGAAAAACCATACGCCTGTGTGTCCTACTCGTACATACCTGCACAACCGGGGTTTCGTAGAACCACTTGTGCCAGACGTCTCCCAGGTAGTGAGCCGAAGGGGGCCTGCTGTCGAAACCCGAAGGATCTCCAATGCTGGAGAACTTTGGGATCGTGCCGAGGTCAGAATGGGTGCCAAACATCCCCGTATACTGAGATTTACGGCGATTTGCTAGCGACACGTTCGACCGGAGTTGATTGAAGTACCTCGAATGATACGTGTTCGCAAGCGATTTTGAAGCCGCCTCAAAACCTTTACCCTCAAGGAGGTCGTCTGCTAAGCGGTCAACTACGCGCTTACTGATCGCCGCTTTTCAGGTCAAAACGAACGGAAACTCTTTCGACACGTAGTCATCNCAAAAGAGTCGGGAAACCAACAAGATGCTGCAGCTTGAAAAACGTGGTGCTGCAGCTTCAAGAACGTGGCATCCTATTTCCTTCCTGATACCTGTGGGCTAGATCCAAATATCATCCACGTACGTGTCGGGTTGCCACAGCAGCAGTACAGTACAGTAGTACCGCCTACCCTAGTTGTAAACAGCAGTACCGCAGTATTTGCAAAACATGCTGTGAACAAGGGACTGACCTGCGCCTTTGTGCAGCGAAGGAAGAGGAGGGTGCGCCCATCCTCCGTTGTAGGGAAAAGGGTTGATCCGCGATACCTTGCCATTCACGTGCTTTCTACATTTCTTGACCGTGTTCTTGACCTCGTCGATCCACGCGGACTGCGGGTGCATACTCGGACAGCTGCTCCCGCTCCCGCGGCCACTACCACTGCTGCTGCTGCCGCCACCACTCCCGCTTCCGCTGGTAGACGAAGTTGAACTTTGTTGAGGTGCGCTGCTGGGCCCCACGGAAGGGGCGGGGGCACTTCGGGATGATATGTTGTCAGGACCAGGGGTGGGTGATTCTCGTGAGAACATGGTGTCGATCCTTTGCGTCTTGCGGACGGCTTCCTGTCTTGACGCAGTCCTGTCGTTCGGTCCTGGCCGTTGGGATCCTTTCCTGTTCCTACTACCCGTAGGACGCCCTGGCCCTCGCCGTGCGGCGGAACCCGCCGCGACGACAGGAACAGGTGTGGGGCGTGCTTCGTCTTCAGCGCGTGCTATCCCCCCCTCCGCATTGTAGGGGTTCTGGACCGCAGTAGCGCTCCGGACCACAGGGGTGGGCGTTGGCGCCGCCTGCGATACCGCAAACATGACTGGGTAGAGATACACTATTATAATTATAGAAGGCCCGGGATGCATTATTGCTCGACCGGTGTCTGCAGACCCGACGAGAGCATGAACGGAACAACCCAGAAATACAGCGCATTGGTGTAGTGCCACACGATGTTTGCTGTTGCCCTACCGACACATGCTGGCAGCCAGGGCTCCGGGCCAAGGAAAGGGCTCAGGAACTGGGGTCGGATTCTGCTAGCGTGGTCTGGCGAGGCACACAGCACCGGGGCCTCTGGGTTGCCGAAAACACACGTTGCCGGCCTGGACTGTCGTGTCTTCAGCAAGGAGAGGTCTAAGGCTCCAAAGAGACCAACCAGCAGGGCGAGGGTGACAACAAATCGCCATGCCTGCATGTTATCGGCCCGCTTCCCGGTGCGGGCCCACTTGTCTGCTCTGCTGCTGAGCTCCTGCTGGTTTCTCGTGTGTTGTCTCGGGTGCTGCTGTGTTGTGGCTGCTGTGAAGTCTCTCGGGTGCTGCTGCTGTGCCGTGTCTCTCGGGAGGTTCCTCCATCGGCGGCGTGACCATCGTGGCCGGCAGGGCACCCATAAATAGGTAAATAGGGCGATTTTTTGTAAGACGGAAGAACTTCCAACAATTATCTATGTTTCAGAGGGGTAGAGCAGGGTAGATGCCCATCTCCCACCAATCACCCGTCGAGTTTGTAAGACATTACAACAAATCGCCATGCCTGCATGTTATCGGCCCGCTTCCCGGTGCGGGCCCACTTGTCTTCTCTGCTGCTGAGCTCCTGCTGGTTTCTCGTGTATTGTCTCGGGTGCTGCTGTGAAGTCTCTCGGGTGCTGCTGCTGTGCCGTGTCTCTCGGGAGGTTCCTCCATCGGCGGCGTGACCATCGTGGCCATCGCCCAATCAGCTGTGTCTGTCCAACATAATGTCCTACATAGTCGACATGTGATTGGTGGGAGGGCAGCATCTACCCGGCTCTACCCCTCTAAAACACAGATAATTTGTTTTTGTTCTTCCGGTCCAACATAATTTTTGCCCTACGTATGGGTGCTGTTTGGAAGAACGCCTACTTACAGGTTCCAAATATTTGGAGCGTTGGAAAAAAATTGGAATATTTGCCCTCGTGAAAACGGGTCTAACCATGGTTCTAAAGCCTATATGGATTGGTGGTGGTATCTTCCGTTTTGAGAGAACGTCGACAATCAGCTGTTTGCTAACACGTGCGTACCCGCCTTGGTTGGGCGATTCGGGGGATATGCCGAACGCGGCTCAATTCTTTTTATTGATAAGCTATGGCGTGACGAACGCAAGTTGGTTTCTTGGCTGGGCCAGCTTGTAAGGAAGACACTTTTGAGCCACCTTCGGCAAAGTAGGAAGGAACGATTGGCCATCGGTGATCGGTCCTGTGGGAACAATGCTCCGTCCTCTCGAGGACGCGTGGTCAATGGTCTTACCGCTAAGGCATGCAAAACATAAGAGTACGCCCCCCACCCCCACCCCCCGCCACGGTGTTGCCATCGGGGTTGGGTTTTCGTCGCTTGGCAACGACGTTGTACAACAAGCCACCCCCTCGGTGTTTGCCATCGGGATTGGGTTTTCGTCGCTTGGCAATGACGTTGCAAAACAAGCCAATTCACTTCGTGAACTCGGCAACCAGGATACCCTTGTTTTTTACCTCTGTTTTTTTTTTGGCGGTAACCATAATGAATGGTGGTCGAGTAGATCATGTTGTGCGGGGTGGAGAACCCTCACTCCGCGCAAGGGGGATGATCGCACCACGTTGTGTTAAAATGGTCAAGCACCCTCGAGGCAGTTACACAGTGCTTACAACTGTCTCTGGAAGTGAAAGCACCAGAATATAAATCCAGTCATACGCAGCTGTCATCCGCACGCAAGGAAGTAAGCACAAGATGCCGAAAACCCTTAGCAGGATGCAGCGCACCCTTCATGCGACTCGCCGAATATCTCACGGCGCTTCGCGCTTGGTGATGTGAGAGCCTGGTCCGGTGAGAACCCGGCGTGCNGTCATGTCACTACCCCCGACGTGAATATACAAGCATCCCTCGCCTCTATTTAAGCGGTTAACAAGCAGGTCCAACAGCGAGACAAGTGCTGGCGGTGGGACAGACATCCTTCCGGCGGTCGTCACCGAGGGCGCGGTTGCCTGATTGGTCGGCATGCCGTGGTTTTCGCATATTTTATTCTGGCAGGCGCGGTCGTTTTATTGCTGCCTGATGTTGAGACTCTTGGCGGACCCTGACTGTCGCCTGTCATATGTTCCTTGTCTCTCTTTCCCTTTCGAGACGAAACAGCTGCAACGCGAATAGTCTACACCATCGGCGGAAGGACGCCGGATCGGCCTGCTTCGGCATCGCCGGTCGCCCCTCTCCGGGCCGGTGGCAGCGTCGACACATCAGGCATGATATACTCCCTCATTTTTGGCATCTCATGAGCCACGCCAATAACAACACGGAAGAGTATGCAGTCGCCCCACCCCCAAAAGAGGGGAAGAGCACACGCGCAGCCAATTTCAAAAGCCGACCTTGCCTGTTGTCGGAAGCTGACTTCTCCGCCGTGTCATAAATAGATCCAGGCAATCGTCGATCGTTTACCTCAGGGACGAACTTTGACAGATCAAGGGTTGCGAGGGCAAGTGTTCTCCAGTTACAGATCGTTTCGATCGCTGAATACTCGTACTCCTACCAACTTCGATGTATTTCGTGACCTCAAGGAATTGACGACGCATGAAGCCTTACTGTTCACCCGTTCTCTGTATTTCCCTCCCATATGCACCGACACTGCGATGGGGAACCACCGTGAGACTGGGTCGTCGCCGAAGTCTACGCCATTTCGGGCACCAGATAAGGCTACTTGTTGATACGATCGCAAGACTGATCAACCATCAAACAAGCGATTTGAATATATTACGTCCCCAAAACTGAAAATTGAAAAAATCCCAACACTGCAAAACCAAACCAAACCAAACAACACCATATCATGTTGCAATCCAAAACTGGAAAGAAAATAAACACCCCAACATAAAAACAAAACCCATCCCACCATTGAGACAGTTAGCGATGAACTATGCGCGAAAAACAGAATGGGTACTGACACACAAGACCAGGACTGCATGATGACGTCTCGAAACAAACCATGGTCGGACTTGGTACATGTATGCCCAGCCAGTATCCGACCTACCCTGTCCTGCTGCTTATTCCCTGTCGGGCGGCCGAGGATACTCCTGTGGGTCGATGCTCAAAACATACGGAAAGGCTCCAACTTAGCTCCAATTTTTCAGGCCCGACCACGATGTTTTAGAGCGTTTTTTAGGGAAAATTAGAGAAGGAGAGAGCCTACAGGGTTAGGGGATTGTAGGCACTGATGGGCGTTTTGACCTGAAAGATAGCAACGGCAATCAGTTGCTGACTTTTGCAAAAAGATAACAACGTATCTGCCCGCGTTTTTGCGGGAAAATCAGAGAAGGAGAGAGCCTACAGGGTTAGGGGATTGTAGGCACTGATGGGCGTTTTGACCTGAAAGATAGCAACGGCAATCAGTTGCTGACTTTTGCAAAAAGATAACAACGTATCTGCCCGCGTTTTTGCGGGAAAATCAGAGAAGGAGAGAGCCTACAGGGTTAGGGGATTGTAGGCACTGATGGGCGTGATGACCAGAAAGATAGCAACGGCAAACAGTTGCTGACTTTTGCAAAAAGATAACAACGTATCTGCCCTGGCCCCTCTGTACAACGGATCGCCCAAGAAATCTCCTCGTTAAATGTATTCCGCCTACAATAGCATGTGCCGCTCTCACGTCGACTCCACATCGTGCCGTCGGAGGCGCCGTTCCCCTCATTCTGGTATTCTTGTGGCTGTTCCGTTAAAGCAGCCAGGCCGAGGCGTGGCTCCCAGTTATCTCCGCTTTCGCCGGGCTCCTCCTCTGCACCGAGTGTTTCGGACGCTCGCCAGCTGCTGCGGGTGTTCCTGGCAACAGGCACGTCCCGAACTTCGACCTGCTTCCTCATGGCTTCAATGCCAACCTTTTTCGCGGACAGTAAAGAACTCAACAGCACCGCCAATACCATGCTGACGTGCGCCGCTACGAGCACAGCCGCAAACACTTGTTGGCTTTCGCTGTTTTCGTCCGAGGCGTCAACTTTCAACAAAAGCGCCAGGTACATGCTAAAAAATACGACCAGTGCACCGGAGCGGTACAGCCACGCGTCCATGGGGTCAACAAACGGCGCGAGTACTTCGAACACCACAAGGAGTCCAGCTGCAAACGCCACCTCGATCGCCACTTGCGCGGCAGTGCCCGGAAATAAAAAGACAGCGAGACCTGTCAGCACTATTCGCCGGCCGCATTCCACCAGCTCGTAGAAGTAGCGCCTTGGTTTGTACGGCTCCCAGAGGTCCTTCATCGGTCGCAAGTTTTCTGGGGTTGTGGTTCCACCAGACCTGTCCTGAACAAGATCTTTTCGGTTCGAAGCCAGCCACCAAGCGAAGACGGCAGGGATACCTATGGGGTACACCAGTACCATCAGGCCGGCATAGACCTCCATTATCGTGTGCGTGCTGGTCGAGCAGGTAAGACTGTAGTCAGCCCGCAAGTACTCCACTTCATCGTCCAGAGTCTCGCACATGAAGGTCTGGAATATGGTGAAAGACACCGAAGAGTAGATGGCGAACACGATGAACAGTGCGATCGACAAATGTTTGTCCGTCGCCTCTCGCATCCCCACCTGCGAGTGCCGATTGTTTCGCTTGGCGATGGCATGTTTCGCCGCAAGCCCACCCAGAATAGCCAGTGGCACAATAGTCGAAAAAGCTAGGCGCCCGTAGAAGTTTGTTTCCACCAGACACAGGAAGGACAAGAAGTAGCCCAGGTTGAAATTTACCAAGTTCAACGCTGCCAGGAACCTCTCGTATATTTCTGGGTACTCCACGTCAACCACGGATGCAAACTGCGGGCGGGAAACAGAAAGAGGACCCGGGTTGCAGAACGCGCAGCCAATTCACGAGCAGTACCTAGCATCCCCCATGACATGTTCTAGCGGGTGACATGGAAGATCGCGACGCGTGGAATCAACATAGTCACGTGAGGTGGCATGAATGTAGTTGAGGTTGACTCGGTTGTTCTTCTGGCTGGGCCTGAGTGCAGTACACTCTCAATCAGTGCACTCTCAGCGGGAAACATCTTGCCGTGCTGTACTTCAGTAGGTAACAAGGAGGCACGGCGATTTGGCTGTAGCACGGAGTGCTGAAAACATATTTTTCCGAGGCAACACATTGGCCTACCAAGAGGAATAAGCACACTCAGGGGTACCAGCCCTTGGAGCACTTCCATCTCTTCACCTGGGTTACGATTTGCCAGACAACCAGGATGATCTTGATGGCTGTGAGCGGAATGGCGGCGGCGATTGCGTCTCGACAGGACAAGAACCGTTCCCATTTTCCAACTCGCGACTTCGTGCCATCGCCATCGTCGACCACCCTCACCAGGTCAACGATCACCAATCCCATCAAGAATGCACAAACCACAAACAGAGCCACCGCTGTGCCTGCCGTCAGTCAGGGGGGGGGGGGGGGGGGGGCGTACTCTTATTTTTTGCACGCATTATTAGCGGTGACCATTGACCACGCGTCCTCGAGAGGACGGAGCATTGTTTACACAGGACCGATCACCGATGGCCAATCGTTCCTTCCTACTTTGCCGAAGGTGTCTCAAAAATGTCTTCCCTAGTCTATCTATCCTACCGATATCACTTCCCGCGTTTTCAACCCACTTCCTATGCCCCAGTACAGCTAACGTCTTCTCCTTGCTATCCCGTGCCTCAAACATCTCCTTATACTTTTCTCCTACTTTTCCCATGTACTCTTCCCTCTCCTTTTACCACCGTCATTCCGCGACTACATGAACACGGTCTTCGCACTCGAAGACGAAATCACATTTGAACTTGGCGTCTTCATCGTCTACCTTCGGAAATCTTCGGCTACGCTCTCGAAGGCCAATGTCCCCGGTCCTGAATTAAACCTTCAGCTTTATTCCTGCATCCATTGGTCCATGTAGGTAATCCTTGAATCCTTTCCTTCTTTCAACATTCCATACACCTCTATGCCCGCCTTATCCTTGGTTTCTTTTCTTGGATTGTGTTTTTCTCTCTCGGCAATATATCTTCTCCTTGAACCTATACAGACCCTCCGTATCCAGGGTATCGTCTTCGTCGATTTCTCACCCTTTCCATGCGTCACTTTCAACCTTGACCCACTCCGTGGCTTGTCTACCCCTCTTCTTGTTTTCCCACTTCGCCTCCCAGGTTATTCTCGGCACCCTCTTCTCTCCCATGCCGCACATGCGATACTGCCATGTCAGCTTCCTTGTGTCTCGTCCCGATCCTAGGGGTTGGATCCCCAGTTCTGCCCTGACGGCTGCATTACTTGTGCGTTTGGTGCATCCTAGGATGACTTTCGCTGCTTTCATCTACACCGCCTAGAGCTCCTTGACTACCTTCGTATTTCCTTCGTATACTTCTCCGGCGTACTCTAGCGGCGGTACGATTACTCTCTTCAATTTGATGCGTGTATCGAGGTGCCGGTTTGCGAGTGCTGCGTGTAGCTTCCCCGTCATTCAGGGGGGGGGGGGGGATGAGTACCTTTANCGATCAACTGAAGATAACAATGACCGGTGGTGTAATTAACTCCGAGCCGACGCGTGGGAGGTCTAGAATGCTGTGACACTCCGACCGATCAACTATGAATTTGGGGCAAATAGTCCTAGTGAGGGGCACATGATGTGGACTATACCTCGTTGTTCAAGTTGGCAACCTCGATTACCTTTCTACGGCTGAAGCAAGAAGGTCGCTGAAGATACTACACCATCTGATCCGGTTTTCAAATTTTGACTACTCCTCGACGAAGAGGATGTAACAAAAAAATGAATCAAATTCGGAAAGCTCTGAGATGGTTCCAGCGCCGCCATTTTCGGCACCGTCACTGCTGTTTTTGCGGCAGAGTGCGGTAATCGGGCTTTGAGAAATTGGGGTGGGGTATCGTACGCAAACCTACTGTACACGAACGCCAAGTCGATCAAGAGCAGATGGTCTGGTAGTCTTCGTGCATGGAGCAAGGATCTATGTACAACTATGATTGGTTGAGGTGGCCTCGAGGACTCGGGGTTGATCAACTGCACAACACGTGGGTGAGATATTGGTGGTTTACCAATGGCTGATGTCGCATTGTCGCCGCCACAGCTCTTGCAGCTATACTGCAACCCAGACGCATAGTCCTCCTCGCATGCCGCACAGTCTGAAAAAACAAGAATCCGCGAAACGGAAGGAGTGGATTGAAGATTACGGCACGTCCATATACCTGATCGTTGAACGTGGCGGGGAGCTTACGAGCAAGACCAAACACCAGCTCTGGCACGACCGTTCTGCCGCAGAGGGGGAATAGACTTGTACCGATACCACCAAAGCGTCCCCGAAGGTTTCTGTAGCTGCGCCATTTTCGCGGGTGTCTTGATGTTGGCACTATCGCCATCGGCAGAGGGACCAAAACCCCCAACCGGCGATGCATTTGAGTGTGAGCATCATTTGCGTGGGTGCTACTACAGCAGGAGACACCCATTGCAATATTCTCACATGCCCCTTGGTAGCCCGTAGCACAGTACTCCCCCGCGGTACTCCCCCCAACACAGGCCCCTTCGCGGTGACATTCCAGGATAATATCGCTTTCGGCAGACGTGCGGTAGTACCCACTTTCCAGGTCCAGCGTTTGCAGCGTGGTTCCCGCGTTGCCAGAAGCGTTCACACCCACTGCCACCTGCGTCGTCCAACGCGCAAGATGAGACCGGAAGAAACGAGAGGACACGTTTCCTCCGAAGTCTACTTGGTTGACCAGTATGGTTTTGCGAGCGAGTGGCTGTCACCTGAAGAAATTCCCCATTGAAAATGGCTTTCCCCTGCCGAATCCTGGCCTGTACGAAACGTGTCGCGTACTCGACCGCCCTTGTTAACACTTACCGCTTTGCAGTGGGGCACGAAGTCCTCTTCGAGCAGGTTTATGCCGTTGTCTAGCATATCCTTATCTCCACAAGGAGATGAAACGCATCTCGAGCAGACTACCTCGAGTCGGCAGGTGTCAGCGACCTGAAGAGAAGAGCCATGCAGGTTTTGGGGCGAAAACACATAATCAAGTTTGGTGCGACCCAATGTGACATGGTGACGTGATTGGATCACCCCGGGTGAACGAATGTTCACAATGATCCAGCCGGAATGGGCTCAGGTAGAATACATGCCTTTTCATCCAATGCTTCTCAGAGCTGCGCCGGCGTACTGCTGTCGTCCAAAACCATCACGTATCACTGCTACCATAACACATGCTATGCTTCCGTTCAACTAATTTCTTCGCTTGGGCACAGTTCGGGGAAATAGTAAATTATGTATTATTTCCTCGACGATTGATTATGTTGCTTCCAGAACGGCACGGCGATAGACCTTCAAACACGAGTTGTTCTCGCCCACATCAAGATACTCCGAACCCCGTTCAGCCTTACCTATACCGCATCTCATTGTCACAACACGATCTTGTCTCCATAACAGGGCAACTTCAACCACACATCGTGTTGGGTACATGCCGCACCTTTCTCCAGGCTTTGTTTCAATATTCTTGACCCAACTCAACTACAGAAGTGGCACAAGAAGCTAGGCCTGCAAGCATGCAACACCGATCACTCTGCTCGAGCAGACATTCTGACTTTCTTCGGAAGAGAGTTGCACACAGGGAAACCGAGGGCCTCTCGCCCGAACGATGTCAATTTTTTTTCCTGTTCAACAAATTCATTTCCGCTAGCGTCATGCAACTTTCACTGCCTTAAATGGGGTCCAAGACATCGATCTCGGTTCCGCAATAGTCAGCGGTCCTTCTTTGTGCTTCCTCTGCTGCAAGCAAAAAAAAACTGCCGCGTTGCATCGGTTGCGCAATGAATCTTCACCTCTTCGTCCATGCCGTGCGCGTTGTAGCCGTATTGGCCGGGAGCGCAGTAGAATGTATTCTCTGCGAATGTGACATTGGTGAAGGTCTCCGCAATCCCGAGGCTCATTATGGCCAGCCCATCCTCACCGGCTCGATTTGCCTGGACGGCTGTGTTGTGTACGCCGACAAGAACGCCTGAATGGAGAAGCGCGCCTCCCGATAAAGCTGTTCAGGAGCGGAGGAAAGCACAAGAGCTTGAACGTTTACGGGGGGGAAACTCTTAATACCGCGCTAGTTTCTCTGTCACATGTGTGTTGAGTGTCTCCTATCATCAGCAGGTCCCGATCGATACAGGCGCGAATTCAAGCAAACAACAAAATCAACTTGAGGTTCGATCTCCTCGATCGAGATGGCTTATTTAATTGACTCTTGCCTCCGGCTAGAGGCAAGTTTCTGACCCATCCATTTTCCATTTCACCTCACGCGAAGCGTTGCCTTGGTGCTGGAAAAATTCGGCAGTTCAGCCCAATTCGCAATCCTCAACGCCAACACATTGTATATATCTGTAGATGTTTCTGCTGCATCCTATTCCTTGGTCATTCTTTTCATTCTCTGGAAGCACGATCTCTACTAGTGAAAGACCCAAACGCCGCTTGAAGATGAAAATTTCCCCCATTGACGTAGTTCATCAACGTTCACCACTCCATATTATCGCAGCAACACATCTTCGCCGTCTTCTGTCCTGCAAAATGCCCCAACATCCATGCAAGTTGATATCAAACATCTCTCCGAGTATTGCCTGTCGTTGGCGTAGGCTATCGGTCCCTCGCAGCGCTCTCTCATCCCGATCACGTTCTGTAGATTTCAGCATGCCCCCAAAGAGATCTTAGGTTAAATTTAATATTGATGCGCGATACCATTTTGGTGACACATGGCCATTTCTCTCGACCATAGTGTTCCCATGCCAGTATTACACTGTGCCCCGGTCCTACGCTTCCGTGCACGCCCGTTGTAAGCCCTGAACGGCAACTTCATTCTCAACATCGTTGATAGTTCTACCACCTTTTTTATCCCATGTCTTTACTTTTCTTAATGGTTGTGTTGCTGAGTGTGCTTTGATGCTGCTTGGCTTGTTTCGCGATGGTGCGATTGTCCTACTTCGCTCTGCAACCTAGAGGTACTGCGTCAACTTTTCCCGCTTTTCTGGCCCGCGTTTCTCGTGCGCTTCGATGTGGTCATCATCATAAGATAGAATGCCTGCTGGCCCGCTAACAGCAGTCTTTCTGTTCCACGCCGGGTCCTGTCATAGTCAATGTCCAAATGACTCCACAAGAACTTGTTTCGACCACATTTCATTCATGTCCGATACCCGCCTTCAACCAGCGGACTCGTCTTTTCCCAACAGTGAACTCGTCGTCGTGTGCACCATACTCCTTTTCCCACCGTTGTAAGCGCCCAGCCTAGCTTTGGGTTCAGGCGTCGTACCTGCGAAGTTGGCCTGAAAGGAGCAATCCTGAACAAGGTCGTACTCGGCCGCGCTGTAGAAGGCA